ACTCGGCGGAGTGGCTGTGATGCTGGGGGAAGGTTGAGGGGGTACAGACCCCCTCCCACTCACAGAATCACAGAACCCCAGACTGGTGAGGGTCGAACGGGCCCTCTGGAGCTCCCCCATCCCACCCCCTGCCAGAGCAGGGGCACCTCCAGCAGACGGCATCCAGGCGGGTTTGGAATGGCTCCAGAGGGGGAGACTCCCCCACCTCTCTGGGCAGCCTGTGCCACTGCTCTGCCACCCTCACAAGAGAGAAGTCCTTCCTCATGTTAAGATGGAACTTCCTATGTTCAAGTTTGTGCCCATTACCTGTTGTCCTTACACTCCCTGCCTTCTATCCTGCAGGTACGCGGGGCGGGAGCCAGCAGCTGCCCCTGCCACCGGCAACAAGAAAACCCACCTGACTGAGCTGCAGCGGCTCCTTGACACGGCCTTCAACCTCGACGCCTTCAAGGACCTGGCCTAAGCAGCAGTCCAGCGGCAGCATGCGCCCGTCCGTCTGTCTGTCCCTCTGTCTGTCCCTCGCTCGCCTCTCCCCTCCCTCCTTAACTACAGACCTTGTAAAACCCCACCAAGGCGCCTGGAGTCCTTGTCTAGCTTGCGCCGGGGGGGCCAGCGTCGGTGCAGCCACGCCCGGGTAGGGGGAGAGGGGCTGGGAGCTGCCCACCCTCTCAAAGGGTGGGGGAGACCTGGAGCCCCCCAGGAGGGGCTGGTCCCCGGGGCTCTGCTCAGGGGGCCTCCAGTGCCATGCGTCCAGCAGCCTCCCACTCCTCTGTCACACATGTCCTGCAGCCGCTGCCTCTTTCAGGGGGGTGTGGGGTGTGTCTGGGCCACCCCTCCCTCCCCTCCAGCTGCCAGGGCACTGTGGGGTGTTCACCCGTCCCTGGGAAGCGCGTTCCCCCTCTGCTCACCCCGGCACCGAGCTCACCACATCCCCCCGTGGGGGGTGACCCCCGGCAGGGCTGGCTGGGGCTTCCCCGATAGACACTGTGTCCCCCCAGTGTCACCCGGATCCTTCGGCTGTAGGGTGGGGACTGCCGCACGCCCACAGGTGTTTGCACACGCGTGTGCCGCCTCTCCCAGCGTGAGGGTGCTGTCACATGTTATGTCACTGTCACACTGTCACCCTGGTGCACATGGGGGCCACATCCCTGCTCACACACACACACAGGCGGGCACTTCCCACGTAGCCTGTGGTTGTGTCACACTGCCACACACATGTGTCACACTCATACATGTGTGTTGCTTTGCTACACAAGCATGTCATGCTGCTGCACACATGTTGCAGTCACACATGTGTTGCACTGCCACAGATGCGTGTCATGCTGTCACACGTGTCACACTGATGCAAATGTGTCACGCTGCCATACATGTCATGCTGTCATGTGCATGTCACACTGCCAGACACACGTGTCACACTTGTACATGTGTGTTGCTTTGCTACACAGGTGTGTCATACTGCTGCACATGTGTTGCAGGCACACACGTGTCACGCTGTCACGCATGCATGTTGCACTGTCTTGCACACATACTGCCACACATGTTGCACTGTCACAGATGTGTCACGCTGTCATGCATGTGTGTTGCACTGCCATACACGTCACGCTGTTGTATGTGTCGTGCTGTCACACATGCGTGTTGTGCTGTCACACATGTGTGTTGCACTGCCATACACACGTGTCACACTCATACATGTGTTGCTTTGCTACACAAGCGTGTCATGCTGCTGCACACACGTTGCAGTCACATGTGTTGTGCTGTCACATATGCGTGTTGCAGTCTTGCACACGTCATACTGACACGTGTGGCATTGTCACAGATAAGTGTTGCACTGTCACAGATGCGTGTCACACCATCACACATGTGTGTCGTGCTGCCATACACGTGTTATGCTGCCACACACGTGTGTCACGCTGTCATGCACGTGTGTTGCGCTGCCATGCACATGTGTCAGGCTGTCATGTATGTGTCATGCTGTTGTGCACACGTGTTGTGCTGCCATACACGTGTCATGCTGTCATGTGCGTGTCACACTGCCATGCTACACAAGTGTGTATACTGCTGCACACGTGTTGCAGTCACACACACGTCACACTGTCACGCATGCATGTTGCACTGTCTTGCACACATCATACTGCCACGTGTTGCACTGTCAGATGCATGTCATGCTGTCACGCATGCGTGTCACACTGCCATATACGTGTCACACTCATACATGTGTGTTGCTTTGCTACACAAGCGTGTCATGCTGCCACACACACGTGTTGCAGTCACATGTATGTCGTGCTGTCATGTATGCGTGTTGCAGTCTTGCACACATCATACTGCCACACGTGTGGCATTGTCACAGATACGTGTTGCACTGTCACAAATGCGTGTCATGCTGTCACGCATCATGTTGCGCTGCCATACACGTCACGCTGTTGTGTGTGTCACGCTGCCACACACACGTCACACTGCCACGCACG